CCGGGACAGCGTCCCTTTGTCCCCCGCGCCACCTCTGCCGGTGCCACCATCGCTCAAAGTGACAAACACGGGTCAGCGAGCGCAGCCCCCCGGGTTTCCCTCCCCGGGGGCCCCCCCCAGCCCCCTCATTTCTCCCTAATTGCATTCCCCAGTGTTATGCAAATGAGGCGGCCCGGGCGCAGCTGCCGCGATGAAATTAAACCCCGTTAATACGCGCTAATTGCGTTTCCGCGCGGGCCCGGGGATTCCGCGGGGGGCGGGAAGAGCCTTTCCCAATATTTACTTTGGGAATTACCCTCCTTTCCAGGCCGTGGCCCCGCCGAGGGGACCGGGGGCGATGGGACTGGGGGGAGGGATGGTGGGACACGGGGCCGGGATGGGCTTCCCTCCTTCTCCTCAGCCCCGAATTCGGCCCGAATTTGGCAGGTTTGTGCCCTGCCCGGAGCATTTGGGGGGGGGTGTTTTCATCCCTTCTCCACGTGGGGCATCCCAGGCTGGAGCTTCACCCAGGAGGAGCTGACCCCGCTGGGAATATCCCAGAAATACCGGGGAATGGAGAGCTGGGACACAAACGGGGGGATCCCGATCCCCAGGGCGCACAGCTCGCGATTTGGGGGATCCCCAGCCCCGCGTGACAGCGACACCGCTGCCACTTCCCTCCTGGTCCACCTCGGAGACCCCCAGTGCCCACCCGGGACGGGCGTGAGGGGGTTGGGTTGTGTCTGTCCCCCCCCCCCAGGATGAGCCGGGAGGGGATTTGGGGGGGCTGTGGGGATGGATGGGGAGATGGGGGGGGGTTGGGAAGGGGCTGTGCCCATCCCTTTCCCACCCCCGGCAGGCGGGATCGGCACTCGGGAACATCTTGCCGAGCGTTCCCGGGTGGGGTCTCGGCCCCCGTAACCCCAACAGATGCGGGGCCCCCTCACAATGGGATTATCGGCGACACGCGTGGCCGGGGCTCACAATACCCACCCCACCCCCCGCACCTCCCGGGGTCCCGCAGCCCCGGGCCGCGTGTCCCGTGTCCCACCGGCCCCTTTTGTGCGGGTGCCGGGACCTGTTGGAGCCATCTGTCAGCGGGGGGTGGGGGTGGGGAGGGGGAACGCGGGGGTCGCAACAGGCAGATTTATTGGCCGCAATCTGTTCCTTCCCCGGGAAAGGAACGGCTAATGAATTAATTAGTATTCCCCCCCCCCACCCCCCTTCCCAATCGCGACCGGCCCTTGGAGCCACCGCGAGGGGTCCCACGCGGGGATTTGGGGAGCGGATCCCGCGCGGGGAGGGGTGGGGAGAAAAGGGGGGATTTTTATTGGGGGGTCAGCACTGTCCCCACCCATCCTGTAATTACTGGGGGAGTTTTCCCGCCCCTCTTTCCCCCTCCCCCGCCTTCTAGCGGGGGCTGCGGAGCCCGAGGGTCCCGATCCAGGGGTCCCCCATCCAGGGATTCCCGGGGATCGGGGGTGTCCCTTTTTCCAGGGATTCCTGGGAATCGGGAACATCGTCTTTCCAGGGATTCCCAGGAATCGAGGATGTCCCCCATCCAGGGATTCCCAGGGATCGGGAGCATCATTCATCCAGGGATTCCCGGGGATCGGGGGTGTCCCTTTATCCAGGGATTCCTGGCAATCTGGAGTGTCCTCCATCCAGGGATTCCCAGGGACAGGGAACATCATTCTTCCAGGGATACCCAAGAATTGGGGTGCCCCTTTTTCCAGGGATTCCCTGCGGGATGCCTCCCGAAGTCCCTTTCCCAACGATTCCCGGGGATCCCTCCCGGGATGCCCCATCGGGGCTGCCGGAGGGGGGGTTTGGGAAGGGGGTCCCGGGGGGGGAAGGGGACGGGAGGAGGAGCCCGGGCTGGGTCCCCTCCCCCCGTGGGAGGAGCCACGCGGGACGCGCGGCCGGGCAGGAGCCGCGGGCAGCGCGGAGCTCTCAAAACCGCCCGAGCCGGAGCTGCGCCAGCCCGGGCAGCTCCCGGTGCCCTCCCGGTGTGTGTGACCCCCCCCCCTCACCCGGTGACACTCGGTGGGACCCCCCCCCCCAAGGGCTGGACGCGCCATGAGCCCGGGCAAGTGACAAAGTGACAGCGGGGACCCCTCCTGTGCCCAGGTAAGGACCTGCCAGGACCCCCCCCAGGGTGCGGGGGGACCCCCAAGGACCTGCGGGGGGCTCGGCGGCCTCTCGGGACTCACTGGAGACCCCCGCGGGACGGGGGTGGGGACCCCCGGCAGGACCCCCCATTTCCCCGGGCAGGGTCGAGCTGATGGGGAGGGTGAGGGTGATGATGGTGAGGAAGGTGATGATGGGGAAGGAGGTTCCCTCTTTGTCTACTCCCCCAGCCCCGTTTTTTTGCTTTTTTTTTTTTTTAAATCGATGTTCTGGTGAAAGAAAGCGAAACCCCTGAAAATTCCAGCCGGGTTTCCACAGGGACAACTTTCCCTGGAGTTGCTGTGCTGGGAAGGGGCTCCCCAGGGCAAAGAGACCCCCGAAACAGGGGGGGTTTCTCCCGGGATGGATTTTGGAGAGGGATGGGGGGTCCCGAGGGAAAGGGACTCCCCTCCCGGCTGCACCTGGAGAGGTTTTGGGGGCAGATCCAGCGCTGATCTCCCCTCGAATCCCAACCTAAGGGACTCGGGACCAGCCGGACCCAGCGGCTCATCCCAAAGATTCTCCCTCCTTCCACGGCCCCGCCGTGCCCCTGCCGGGAGTTTAATTGGGGCTGCGTGGCCCTCTGGGGACGCGGAGCATCAATTAACACCCTAATCCCGCGCGCGAGCCCCCATCACGCATATTAAAAGCGGGATTTTCCGGCGTGGGATGGGTCGGGGCGAGGCGAGGCGAGCCGAGCCGGGGGCTGGGGAAGCACTTCCAGCAAAGCTGCTTAGAGGCTAAAGCTTTATTAAATGAGTCAGGCACGACCAAAGGGATTTTTTTGGGGGGGCTGATTAACGGTGAAACCCGTGGGGAAGGAGGGTTCGGGCAGGACAAACCCCAGAGATGCTTTTCCCAAGCTCCCTTTTGTCACCTGAGACGGGATTGAGGGGGCTGGGGAGGATTAATGAGCTGGAATCACCCCAAAAACGGGGCTGTTGGAAGCCCTGAGTGCAGGGGAAGAGCCCGCGGGGAGGGCTGAGGTGGCTCCTCCTCCTCCTCCCTAAAAAAAAACAACCCACCAGAAATTATTGGAGAGAGAAAGAAGGAGGAGGATAAATAGATTTTATGGGTACCAACAGCGGGCAGGGTCAGACGGGGGGGTCTCCAGGAGGTGATTTTTTTTTTAAGGGATGGGTAAATAATCAGACTCTGTAGGCACCAAGGGCGGGGGGGGAGGTCTCCAGGAGACGATTTTCTCCACCCTTTTTTCCCCCTCTGGAATTCCTTCCCACCTCGCTGTCCCCTCAGGGTCGCAGAGCTCGGGGATGACCAAGAGCTGCCCCGAGGAGATGGCCGAGCTGGTGACCCCCCCGTGGGGGGCAGAGCTGAAGGACGAGCCCGGGCCGGGCCCCTTCGCGCTGGGGCCGCGCCCCGCCGAGCAGCGCGACAGCCCCGGGGAGGAGGAGGAGGAGGAAGAAGAAGAAGAAGGAGGAGGAAGAGGAGGGCGAGAAGCCCAAGAGGAGAGGCCCCAAGAAGAAGAAGATGACGAAGGCGAGGCTGGAGCGGTTCCGGGCGCGCAGGGTCAAGGCCAACGCCCGGGAGCGCACCCGGATGCACGGCCTGAACGACGCCCTGGACAACCTGCGCAGGGTCATGCCCTGCTACTCCAAAACGCAGAAACTCTCCAAGATCGAGACGCTGCGGCTCGCCAGGAACTACATCTGGGCCCTGTCCGAGGTGCTGGAGACGGGGCAGACGCCGGAGGGCAAGAGCTTCGTGGAGATGCTCTGCAAGGGGCTGTCGCAGCCCACCAGCAACCTGGTGGCGGGGTGCCTGCAGCTGGGGCCGCAGGCGCTGCTCCTGGAGAGGCACGACGAGAAATCGCCGGCCTGCGAGGCTGCCCTGAGCGGCCACCCCTTCAGCTACCAAACCCCCGGGCTGCCCAGCCCGCCCTACGGCTCCCTGGAGTCCCACCTGCTGCACCTCAAACCCGCCCCCGCCTTCAAGAGCCTGGCCGAGGGTCCCTTCGGGGGACACCCCCACCCCCCTGACTGCTCCCCGCCGCCCTACGAGGGGCCCCTGACCCCCCCGCTGAGCATCAGCGGCAACTTCTCCCTGAAGCAGGACGGCTCCCCGGAGCTGGAGAAGCCCCCCTACCCTTTCGTGGGCCACTACCCCTCGGTGGGCCTGGCCGGGCCCCACGGACACGCCCCCCACTTCCAGGGCTCGGTGCCCCGCTACGAGATCCCGCTGGAGGTGGGCTACGAGCCCTTCCCCCCCCCGCACGCGGCCGGGCCCCAGCTGGGCGCCCTCTTCAACGAGTAATCCCTCCCGGATTCCCGATTCCCGATTCCCGAGGCTCTGGAGCGTTTCCAGGACGGGGATACGACCCCCCAGCCAGGGGGAAATGCCGTGGTCCATCACCCAGGGACGTCACAATCCGCGATCCGGGGATGCTGTGGTCCACCATCCAGGGATTGGGATCCACCCCCCGGGCCCATCCAGGGTTTTTGGGATCCACCCCCCAGGCCCATCCAGGGATGGGGATCCACCCCCCGAGCCCATCCAGGGTTTGGGGATCCACCCCTCAGGCCCATCCAGGGTTTGGGATCCACCCCCCTGACCCATCCAGGGATTGGGGATCCACCCCCTTGACCCATCCAGGGTTTGGGATCCACCCCCCTGACCCATCCAGGGTTTTTGGGATCCACCCCCCAGACCCATCCAGGGATTGGGATCCACCCCCCTGACCATCCAGGGTTTTTGGGATCCACCCCCCAGACCCATCCAGGGATTGGGATCCACTCCCCAGGCCCATCCAGGGTTTTTGGGATCCACCCCCCAAGCCCATCCAGGGTTTTTGGGATCCACCCCCAGACCTATCCAGGGTTTTTGGGATCCACCCCCCGGGCCCTTCCAGGGTTTTTGGGATCCACCCCCCTGACCCATCCAGGGTTTTTGGGATCCACCCCCAGACCCATCCAGGGTTTTTGGGATCCACCCCCCGGGCCCTTCCAGGGTTTTTGGGATCCACCCCCCAAGCCCCTCCATGCCCGGAGCTCCTCCGTGCCCTCCCCTCATCCCGACTGGAAGTGAAGCCCCCGGACCTTCCCCTGCCGCCCCCCCCTGCCCAAACAAAGCGTGGCTGAACCCCCGGTTTATTTATTTATTCATTTATTTATTCCTTGCTGTGTCTGAGGGGTCTCGTTCATCTCCTCCCGTCTCTCCCGAGGCTTGGAATTCGCTCCCAGAACCTCCCGGTTCCTTTCCCCGTCGACTCCCGAGCCTGTAGTGGGAATTAGCTTCGTGGAGACTGTGTGGTTTTTGCAGTGCTGGTGCCCCAGGATTATTTATTAGCCGTTATTTATTTAATTTATTTGCCCCTGTTTTGCCCTCGCAACTTAATTTTAATTTTTTTTCCTTTTTTTTTGTCCCCCCGGGTGACAAACCCGAGTATTTCACATTTTTGACGCCCAACTCCGACATTTAGCGGCCACTTCACGGATTTGCCTCCCCAGCTCCCGACCCCTCCCCGGATCTCGAGTCAGAGCAATAACTTTTCAAGGCTATGCAACGATTATTTTATTTTTTTTTTTTTGTCTCCCGAGAAAATCCAGGTGACTATTTTTGATGTGTCCCTCACACTGGCCAGAACTCCCTGTTTGTTTTTTGGTTTTGTTTTCTTTTTGTTTGGGTTTTTTTGGATAGAGTTGGGAATTGGGAGGTGATTTGAGCTCTTTCCCTTTTGTACTGAAAATGTTTATCCTTTTGTAAAAAAAATAAACAAAAAAAAAAGTAAAAAAAAAAAAAAGGCAGAATTGGGGTTTTTTAGCTCAAATAAAGTCGTGGTCTCGTTTCAAGCAGCTTTTGCCCCAGGGCTGTTGTGTTCTTTATTTTTTGTGGGGAGGATGGATCCGGGGGTCCAGCTGGGATCCCTAAGCTTGGAGCTGGGATCTATGGGGGGTTAGGGGGATTTGGGGTGCCAGGAGAGGGGTCCGGCACAGTCCTGGGGGGATTTGGGGTAGATCTGGGAGTGGATCCATGGGGGAGCCGGGGATTTGGGGATGTCTAGGGACAGGGGTCCAGCACAGCCCTGGGGGGATTTGGGGATTTGGGGGGATTTGGAGTGTCAGGAGGGGGTCTAGCACAGCCTGGGGATTTGGGATTTGGGGTGTCAGGAGAGGGGTCCAGCCCAGCCCTGATGGGACAGGTCCTACCTGCTCCCCGTCCACGCAGGACACGGGGACGCTCCGCGCCCACGTCCTGACTTCACCCCACCCCTCCCACCCCCCCACCCCCACGCCGGGGAAAATCCCGCGTGTCCCGACCCCTCGCAGCACCCCCCGAGCCCTCCCTTCCCAGCTGCGCCCCAAACCCCCCAAAAACCGTGGCGCCTGGCGACAATCCCGGCCCTCCCCGCGGCCCCTCGCGTGGGGACCCCGCGCTCCACGTGCCCTGCACAGCTCAGCGCGTCCCCGCGTCCCCCGCGTCCCCGGCGTCCCCCGCGCCCGCGCTGCGCCGCAGCCCGGGGAGCCGCGGCGGCCCCGCAAGCTGTGCCCGGCTCAAAGGGGGGGCTCTCCCGGGGCTCCGGCATCGCGGGGGATCTCCTGGGCCCCTGCAGCTGCCACGGAGGCGCCACCGCGCGTGGGGAGGGGTGGAGGGAGGGGAGGTGGGAGGGGTGGTTTTGGGGGGGATGGGGATGGGGAGACCTGGGATGGCCCTTCCTGGGGATGGAACGAGCCCGGGCGTGGAATGACCCGGGCGTGGAGTGACCTGGGATGCACCCACGCGGGCGTGGACCTGCCCGGCCTCCCCGTCCCTATGGATGCCCCTCCTGGGGGGGGGGGTCTTACCTCCCCTCCCCGTGTGGGATCCGTGGAGGGGGGACACACCCTTCCCATGTCGGGTGCGTGACATCTGATCCTCCCCACACACAGGGACAACAATCCCCGGGTCGTGACACCCACGCGGACCCCCAGCTCCCACCCAGCCGGCCACCCCGACCCCCCATCCCCTCACCCCCCAGTGAGCGCTGGGATGAGGCCGAGCCGGTGCCGGGGGGGGTCCAGCTGTGCCCCCGAGCCCCCCCATTCCCCCCTCCCACGCCGGCCCGTGGCCAAAGCCCCGCTCGGTGCCAGGTCCCCCCCAGGGCACGCGTGGCGGGGCCAGCCCCTTCCAGCAGCCCCGGCCCGTGCCAGGAGGGGCGGAGAGGAGCCGTGCCAGGCCGGGCCGAGGGCACAGCTGGCCCCCGACACGCGCGTGGGAGGGGGGGACACGCAGCGTGGGTGACCCCCCCGCGTGGCTGGGAGCTGAGAACTGGCGCTCTCGCTGCACCCCAGGTCACCCCTCTGACTCACGGGGGTCCCTCGTGGGGGTCCCGCTCCACCCCCACAGCCCCCCCAGCCTCCTCCCGGGGGTCCTGGGGATGGTGGTGCGGCCCCTGCGAGGACCCCCTAAAGCTGCGGGAGGGGGGGGGGGATATGAGGGGTACCCCCCCCACACCCCTCTCTCCCAAAACTGAGCCGGGTCCATCGGCTGCACTCGCCCAATTAGCACTAATTAGCCCCGGGGAGCGTCCAGGGAGCAAGCCGGGATAGCAGGAGCTGTCCCTGCCCCTGGGATCGGGATCGTTTTTCCAGTCCCTTTCCCTTCCCAAACTCTCCCGTGATTCCACCGTGACCATCCGAGCCGGGAACAACCCCCATTCCCGAGGAAGCTTCACCTCCCACCCCACCCAGGGCATCCCCACGGACACACGCCGTGGAAAGGCACTCCTGGGAACGCTCATCCCGGGAAAAAAGCCCTGCTGGGAGCAGCTCCCAGCTCCGAGGGTCCCCAGCCTGCTCTTTCCCTGGCTGGGCTGGGGGGTGCCCGGGGCTGGATAATTTGCTAAGCCCCTCTAAAGCCCGGCTTTAAGAGCCGTAATTCCGATATTTGCCTGTAATCTGATCACGCCGGGAAGCCACCCCGAGCTCCAAATGTGGCCGGCTCGGGAATCCACCAGGATTTTCCCACTAAGCCGGAATATCAGACTCTTGATTCCCCCGGGTTTAATCGTCTTTTCCCCCTCGGGGACGGCAGATTTTGGCAACTAACTTTCCTCCTGGTCGGTAGGGAGGGGGTTGGAGGGTGGGAGCTCCGACTGGTGGCACCGCAGTGACCCCAGAAAAGCGGGATGGGCCGGGAAGGAGCTGCTGCCCCCGGGGCTGAACGGGGCTGGGGACAAGCCCAGGTGGGGGCAAAACCCCCTTTTTTGGGTGTGTTTGGGACCTTCGGGGTGGGTTTTGTCTCTCCAGCAGGACGAGGCGCACATCCCGGGGCTGGCACGGGGCTCCTGGGGGGGGGTGGGGAATTCCACAAATCCCTCTCGTTTCAATCTGTTTGCGGAGCCGGGAGAGGGGGATTAGGGAGAGGCTCCCCCGGCATCTGCTGAGCCCGGCGGTGCTGCAGCGTTCCCGGCCCTTTGGGGGGGCCATCCCGGCCCTCCCAGGTCCCCCCGACATCCCAATTCATCCCACATCCACCCCACAGCCATCCCACAGCCATCCCAATCCATCCCACATCCCAATCCACCCCACATCCACCCCACAGCCATCCCAATCCATCCCAATCCATCCCACATCCATCCCAATCCACCCCACATCCACCCCAATACATCCCACATCCCAATTCATCCCACATCCATCCCAATCCACCCCACATCCACCCCACAGCCATCCCAATCCATCCCACATCCACCCCACATTCCAATCCACCCCACATCCACCCCACAGCCATCCCACATCCCAATCCATCCCACAGCCACCCCACGGCCATCCCAATCCATCCCACATCCCAATCCACCCCACGTGGGCAGGAATCCTCCTGGAATGTCACCAAGGGCTGGGAGCACCAACTGCCCCCCAGCTCGGGCCTTACTGGGACGGGACTGGGGCTCCTCCCCCCCCATCCCAGCGCCAGCACCAGGAGCTCCCAGTGGGAATCCCACACCAGGGAAGCACCGGGAATTCCAGGGAGCCCCTTTGCCCGGCTGAGAGGCCGGGAGCGCGTCCAGGAGGAGCCGCCGAGCTCGGACCAACACTCACACAGAAACACACACAAACCGCCCGGGTTCGGTTTATTTTTGATATTAAAATCCAAGTTCGGGGGGACCTGCCGGTTAATCCGCGGCAGATGAAGCGGCGGCAGCGCTCGGGGGCTGTTGACGGAGTCTTTGCTGCCGGGGCGAGATTAGAGCCCGGCTTAACGACGTGGCGGGAGGGTTCGGGGGGCGCTTTAATCAGAATTTGTACAGCAATAATCCCGTCTTTAAAAACTCGCCCCCG